AATAAGCACAAGTGCCATGATCACAATAGATGTCACCAGGTCGGCCACATTCGTGTTAGTGATTTCATTAAAAACATTCTCCAGAGTCTGAAATCAAATACCAAATGTTTGATATATTCACTGAAAAATCATATAGAGCTATGTAATACAATGTCTACAATGCTAGTACATTAAAAAAAAGAAAGAATTTAACTCACATATACAATGGCAAGTGGTCCGTTTATACCAGGAAAGTCCAATCCCAACACAAACCTGAGCTGGGATACCAAAATGTGAACAGCAGCCGCAGTAGTGAATCCTGACACCAGAGTCTCTGACAGATACATGACAATGAAGCCCACCTGCAGCAGCCCCATTATAAGCTGAAAACAGACATTCCACATGGTAAAAATAATATATAATTTTCTTAAAGCCATTTTATATATGATTACATTTATTGTTTATGAGAGTAAATCTAAAGAAATCTGTAATGAACAAGTTCTGCTCATATTTCATGATCCCAAAATCAAAAGAAAATTATAAGATTTTTGTATTAATATTGTATATTATAATAATATAAATAATAGTAGTAGTAGTAATAATAATAATAATAATTTATTATTAATATTGTTGTTGTTGTTACTTTTGTTCTGCTATTTCATGTTTTGGTGTTAAAAAATGTGAATGTGTTTGTTTGTTTGTTTTTTGTACCTGAAATGCTCCCATGACAAAAGTAACTGAGGAAGCAACTAGAACTCTCTGTTGTTCCATGCTCAATCCTTCAAATCCAGTGATGTTAGCTGGCGGCCCGTCATCAGGAACCAGTCGGGTGACAACAGCGCCCACCATTAGACTCAGAATAGGAAAGGCCCCTAAAACACAGTCCAGTTAGAAAGTGCAATGTCATTCACTTGTGCACAAACCATCACTTCTAATTAATTAGCCTTCTGTGATATTGTGTGCAGTGTGCACATATATATTGAAAAAAAGTTGTTGTGTAGAAACAGTTTTCACTAAGAAATTTCTAATAATTTTTACAAATAATAACTAAGTTATGGCATTGAATTGAATATTGAAATAGAAATACTGAAATTTCTTGTGCAGCATACTCCAATAATTGTTTTATTTAAAACTTTGAAAAAAAAAAAACGATGGTGTGCCATGTAAATGTATACATATCACGCACCTACTGACAGGTGTCTGGAGGTTCCCAAAAAGAAGTAGATTATTGCAGGGAAGAATGCAGTGTACAGTCCATATCCCGGTGGTAAAGAGGCCAGCAAAGAGAATGCAAGTCCTGATACAAAATAATCCAGTGAGGTGGTGTACGTATTCCTTTTTAGAATGTATTTCTGTATTACAGAATTTACAAACTCTTCAAAAAATTATTTTAGCCAAACTACGTATGTTAAACATGCTACCTTGTAGCACTGCCACTAGCCCAGTGCTGATGCCTGAAACAATGTCACCTAGCAGCCATTCTTTGATGTTGTAGTTCTTCATCCATCCAATGATCGGTAGAAGGGAAAGAGCTGCATTCTTTGCACGATTTGTATCACAACTACAGTGCAAACAATATAAACACAATTTGCTCAAGCTTCTTGTTGCATCATTTAGTCATGTTCACACATTATCTCAATAATATCACTACTTTAGATGTGCTTATGATACCATATTTCAACTTAAAGGACCTCTTATTTTAAAAGTATTACAGAAGACATAAGGAAAGCAAAGGCTAACAATGAGGACTATATGAATACACTTGAGTCTTGATTCTTACGTGAAATAATCTTTCAGATGGTGCCGCAGAGTTTTGCGGTTCCTGTTGATCCTCTCGTGCTGTTCTGCGAAGGAGTCCTCTGAAAACAGAGGTCTTACCACCACATAGTGTCTGCCGAAGGGCTGCATTTTGGTTAGTTAGTTTTCAGATGCATCTCGAGTGCTTTATATAGTCTGGTTTGGATGATGAGTGTGTTGTCATTAGTCTTATCACTGATATTCTGGGATGTCTTTTGTGAGCTTTAATCATTGATAGATTTTATCACAATGGTTTTTTTTGAGTCATTCTTCCTTATTTACATGTGTTTTAGAGAAGGAAACAAAAAATAGAGCTGCAGGAAAAACTATGTGAACCCACGTGGATTTGTTATGAATTACTGCGTACAAGTCACAGTGATTAACTTCCTCCATTTAGACTAATGAGCATCACAGATTCAGAGATGCTTTTGTAATCAGTTTAAGCTTTATGCAAATTAACTTTTTTATGAGGAATGGTCCATATCAGGCAAAGCTCTGTGTGAATGGTAAACTCAAAATTGTGTGTTTTTTATAGAGCAGAGTGACTCTAACCTACACTTTCAATCTTGTCACATTGTTTGGACTCTAGGTTAGCAAGTTTGTCTCTTCACACCATTTATAACAACTATTTTGCTTATTCACATACTTTTTCCATTTTGCACTGTGAATGTTTCTTTTATGTACTTGGGCATTAAAACAGGCCATTTGTTTGTCAAGTCAAGTCAAGTCACCTTTATTTATATAGTGCTATATACAATACTGATTGTGTCAAAGCAGCTTTGCAGTGAAAAACAGTTAACAATGAATCTAGATTTAAACTGACAGAGTGTATCTGGGTGCTAAATAAAGGATCTGCTTCCTGCAGTTGATTTTGATATTCTAGGTATTATCAAATGGGCAGAGTAGGAAATTACGAGTCATCCAGATTTTTTTTTTATAACTATGTTTTATAACTAATTATATTTTATAACCATGCATTCCGTTAGTTTTTGTGTGATTTGTATTTGCAGAGTGTGTATTGTTATTTAATTAAATATTAGACCTAATTTTATGACCAATTCATATAAACTGTGGTCCAAAGGTCCATGTACGTTTCCCTGATACTTTATTTCCTTTTGCCAGAATTTGTAATTACTCTCATTCAGACTGATTAAACACTTCTATATCAACTGTTGGCTGAGTTACTAAGTCAACAAGCGCACCACATATATTGTGAAATGATCTATTATTTTTTACACGTGTTTCTCTTTCCTCTCATACAATTCAATCATCTTCCATTGTGTGGAATGAAATGAAAATTTAACCAAATTTAACTTGTTCCTTGTTCCAGTGTTTGTCCAGGAACCACATTTGAATGACACAATCATAATTCTATAACCATAACATAACGTAAAATAACAATGTCACCTTTGTTTATATAGCTCTTTATACAATACTGATTGTGTCAAAGCAGCTTTACAGTGTCAAAGAGGAAAATCGTTTGCAAATAACGCAAGAGGACAATAACAAAGAGTCAATTTTCCAGCTAAAGTCAGTTCATTAATGATTCAGTGATGTCATCATCCAGTTCAGCTCTCTTCCAATAGTGTCTGAGCAATCAGTCAAGCGTCCCCAAAGGCGACAGTGGCAAGGACCCAAAACTCCATCGGTGACAGAAATGGAGAAAAAACCTTGGGATAATCCAGGCTCAGTTGGTGGGGGGGTTATGGTTTCCAGAGGAAACCAGCATGGCGTGGTTTAATTCCAGGCTGCAACACAGGTCAGATTGTGCAGAGGACTTGTCTGGTTCCCGTGGTCTTGTGCCGATGGTCGTCGAGGTGACGAGGTTTTCGCAGAGGATCTGTTTCTAAGGCGCATCAAGTTGACATGGTCTCCACTGACATTCAGGGCTGTAGAGGTCGTCTCTCGGTGTTGATCCACCATCTGATCTGGATACGGACTGGATCCGGATGGCTATGGTGACCACGGAATAAGAATGAAAGAGACTAATATTAGCGTAGATGCCATTCTTCTTATGATGTAGCGAGTACATCGGGTGTTATGGGAAGTGTTCCCGGTTTTGGTTGACCTAATTAATGCAGCCTAACAATCATTTAACGGATTTGAATTTTAGAAATGCGATAGTGTGTTATGTGTATGCCAGGTTAAAGAGATGGGTCTTTAATCTAGATTTAAACTGGCAGAGTGTGTCTGCCTCCCGAACAATGCTAGGTAGATTGTTCCAGAGTTTGGGTGCTAAATAGGAAGAAGATGTGCCACCCGCAGTTGATTTTGATATTCTAGATATTGTCAAATGGCCAGAGTTTTGAGATTGCAGTGGACGTGAAGGACTATAATGCGATATGAGCTCACTCAAGTAGGACGAGCTAACCCATTCAGGGCTTTATAAGCAATTAGCAAGATTTTGAAATGTATTCGATGTTCAATAGTTAGCCAGTGCAGATTTGACAGAACCAGGCTGATATGGTCGTACTTCCTGGTAACCATACCTAAGTTCTAGAAAAGAGGGAGTTTATAGTTTCTGTTACAACATCAAGTTTACTGAGCTGTTGGATTTGCTGAGGAATTGAGACAAGTCAGGATGATTATTTACAAAGCAGTCTTTTGTGCTAGAAGTGATGGTTCTACTATATTTGTAGGAGGGAGTTGAATTTGCAGCTTTAGCTATATGGAGTATACACAAGACTAGATAATGATCTGAGATATCACCACTCTACTGCAGAATTTCAACGCTATTTACATCAATTCCATGTGACAGTATTAAATCTAAAGTATGATTACAATGAGTAGACCCTGACATGTGTTGTACAACCCCAATGGAGTTCAGGATGTCTATAAATGCTGATCCCAATACATCTTTTTCATTATCAACATGGATATTAAAATCACCAACAATTAAGACTTTATCTGCTGCAACACTTACTCAGTCAGAAAATCAGTCTGCATGGTGCCCTGGTGACCTGCATAAAGTAGCCAGTACAAACGTCACAGGGGATTTATCATTAACACTGGTTTCTCTGGATAATGTTATATAAAGCACCATTACTTGGTTTTGTAGAAAGGGAACTAATATTCATTAAGCCAAGCTTTATCCTTTGTTTATCTCTATTATATCTGTTTTTGATTTGTTGAACATCAATTAAATTGTTACCCTTAAATTGTTTTTTGTATTAGCTAGTTCGAGGAACAAGACAGAGAACAGTCTGTATAGTATGATATCTAGGTGAAAGAGTATCCGTGTGCTGAGAATTAACGGACTTCTGTGACGTGAAGTGGCTAGCAGTAGACTATGTGGCATATTTCTAGAGAGAAGAGCAACACCAGCCCTGGAGGGATGAAGACCATCTCTTTTCAGCAGGTCAGGTCTGCCCCAAAAATGCATCCAATTGTCTGTGAAACCTATGTTATTCTGCAGGCACCACTTAGACATCCAGCCATAATAACAATAATAACATAGGCTAACCAACACTTGAAATCAGAGAGATTAAGCTATGATGCTGTTCAGCCTAAACCCGTCACTGACATCAGCTGGTATGCCCTAGATGGCCACCAGAGGTCTCCTGTGTCCTTGTTTGAGCACATGACTTGTCATGTGTTTGTTTGTGCCATGCGCTTTCCTGTCTATTGTCTTGACACAGCCCTTCTTGTTATCTGGTTATTGGTTCAGTTGCTCTGCCTCGTTACCCTCCTTGTTTGCTCCCTATTTATTCCCTTTGTGTTTTCTGTTCTGTGTGGTGCGTTGTCGTTCATTGTTTCTCTGATTGCTGTCAGTTGAGTCAAGTTATTTCTTTCTGCGTATTTGCTCCACTCAGCTCTGTTCTGTTTTATTTTCCCTATCACAGGAATTTTCCCTATCACTTTTATTTTCTTGCCATGTTTGACTGTTATCTGGTCTTAGTCCAGTTTTTGTGTTTCTCCTTGTTTTTGTTATTAAATATCCTTATTTAAGCTCCCCTGGCTGATCTGCATTTGGGTCCTGTTTGCAAACCGTGCCAAGCCAAGCTCTAAACCATAAATCTAAAACTAAAATCTGATCGGTTAATATGATGTTGTTCCAGTACCAGAAAGAATTTTACTTCTTAAATTTTGTTAAGTAATCTCAATTTTTTTTTCTTTTTATGCAGTATGTCATATAATTCGCGTTAAAGTCCTTTATGGCCCTTTCCCAGGAAAGAGTGTCATCTTCAGTGAAAGAAGTCATCTTCAGTAGCTATAAAATAATTTTTTCCTTAACCGTAACTTGCTTTCTCATACAGATAGTTAATAATTTACACCTAGGAATTAGATTTATAAAGATTATTACTTCAGTAAAAGTAAAATAATTAGATCTGCACGTGTCTTTATTTGTATACTTGAAAATAATTTTGTCTCAGGTCAGGAAGGACAGTGTATATTTTAGAAAACATTTTTTTTTATTTTAGAATAAAAATAGTACACATAAAAATACATACTATTCAAAAAGGAAAAAAATGTCAATATACAAAAGGCACTGATAGTGAACTGATAAGAGCATTTGTTCAACACAAATCCAATAATTTAGTGACATGACACATTGACAATCTCAAGCTAATTCATTCTGCACGGAATACAAACTGCTACATGCTAAATCAAGTTAATTATTATATACACAGATTTTAAAGTACTACATTGTGAAAGTTTCATGTTGGTTCACTTCAAAACCTTGTCTCTGGTTTGGTGTCTGTTTCGACTTCCATGTCCTGCAGAAAATAAAACAGATTAACCCAACTGAGAACTTCTCTCTTGAATAGAAATTGTGATGCACTATTGGAAGAACTATTGCTTTAAAAAATAGTTTTTAATATTATTTCATATTTTAATTCCAGGTGCTTGCTGGGTCACTTACTTCCATTGCTTGGATTTTCAACCCATTGGATGTGCTGCCGCTGTTAATGTGTTGATATTGGAAACTTCCTGAGACCTGTTTACGTAAGGTCAAATCAATGCACATTGATAATTATGCTTTTTTTTTTAATAAATGCTACAAATTAATCTTTGAATGAACAAATCAAGCTTGTACAAGCTCCAAACTGTTACGTTCACCTTCTCGCTCACAGTCTTCGGTGGATGGGACTCATGAATGAAGAGCATTG